ATACATATTTGTAATTAATTATAGGCCTGTCTCTTATACACATCTAGATGTGTATAAGAGGCAAGATTTTAATCAGACAAGACAACCTTATGTGTATGAGGTGACTGCAGATCAACATGTAATTCAGTATCTTTTACCTTTTAAATTTTGATTTTTATATTGATTTTTATATGTTTCTGTATTTTTTACTTGTTGTTGTACGACAAATATGTGCTTTCAATTTTACTTCATTGTTTTAAGTAATTAAATCATGTTTTAATTGCATCAACATGTAATTCAGTGTCTGCTTCTGTTATGTGTGATTTTGAAAATGAATTGAATTAAAGTGAACAAAATCATTGTTTAAGGATTTGCTTTTATTGAATAAATTTCAGAAAGAGCTTCAAGTCTTCCCACTCGTCGTTCATGGGGCCCGGGTTAGTACTAAACCTTTACATACTGCAAAGAAATTTTCAAAGCTAGTAAGAAGTTAGTAGAAATAGCATTGTCTGCTAGTATTGAGACAGGCTTTAGGGGATATAGATAACTTGAGTGGAACAGTCAATCTGTAAAGGAAGGAAAATATTCTTTCCATTGATTGTACGAATACAAAACATTCATTATTTGTTTTATAATGCACCTCAACAAATCCTTGTCATTTGTTTTGATATCCAGTTCTTTATCTGTCCTAGGATGTCCTAACCAAGCTTGCATACGATTTCAAATGACGTTTGTTTTTTAGTATTTGCTGAATCGCAACAGTCCGTCTGTCATCAGAACATAGCCTACCATCTTCGAAGTGTCCCAGACTGTAAAAGGCCTGTCGCCTGCTCGGGTAATATGTTCTCCATACAAACCAAGCCCAGAGATGCCTAGACCCTAGGCTAGAAATCTGTCAATGCATTTCTGAAAGTAAGGGCCAACTTCAGCGCAGATTTTACCCCAAAAATAGATATTCCAATTGCTAGTGCAAATTTGAGCTTGTTTTTGAGGTGATAATAAAGATATTACCTAAATATTTATAATGTGCCAACTTCAAATTGAATTATCAAAGGTGCAAGTGTTATTACCCTGGTCACTGGATAACATACAATGGCAAACCAGCACAAAGTGCAACCTTCTCTACTCCCTGGGAAGTATCCCTGTTCGTTTGCTACTTCTTTAGTGCACAAAACTAGTACATTCAATGCCATAACATCCTACTAGGTACCCCAGGTTAATTGTAAATTAATAACTTATTTAAATACTGTATACACCGACACACAAATAGTTTTAAACATATACTGGAAAATGTTATTTTCATATTTCATTCTACTATTACTAAACCAGGGCTGCAAGCCCTAGGCTTTTTCAAATAAAAAACTTTTCAACTTATACTAGTATTCGGGGTAAGTTTTTTTCTGGTTAACTTTATATTAGGGCGCAATATTGAAAACAGAGATTTTGTATTCTTTTATAATAGAAATTTCTAACTTTATTAAGCGTTATTAAAAGCTTTGCTAATATTAATAAACCTTTTTCAATAAAGAAGTCTTGGAAAGCACGTAATTAATGTAAGAAATCACATTTTTTTTTTTCATCTAATGTTAAATAGTGAAACAAGAATTGGATCAACCAAGACAAATTTCTGATAAGAAACTGTCTGCAAAACTATATGAGAGAAAATCTTCTGGTGAGTTTTAAGAAATCATTAATTTAGACTTATTAAATAAAATCTATAAACACTATTATGTGAGAAAGCAGGATGAAATGTGAGGAACATGAAGAACGCAGAACTGTATAAGAGAAAATTTTCTGGTGAGTTTTAAGAAATCATTAATTTTAAAAATATATAAACACTATTATGTGAAAAGCAGGATGAAATGTGAGGAACATGAAATAAAAATCAGGGAACACACTAGGATTTGCCCAGTGCAAATTGGAAAGGGGAATGCAATCAAAGCGAGCATCATTTGAATGGGGGGGGGGTCTGTCTTAGACTTGGGTGGGTTCCAGGGTTAAAGTTCCAGTTAGCTTTAGTAGGCCGCTAAGTTGGTTTCTAGTTTACAATGATAATGTTACTTTATAATATATATTTTAATTGTAATATTCACACTTTTCAATTATGTGGCTCACAAATGTTTTATATAACATTCACTGTCTGCCAAAAAAATAATGGAGAAACATTTAAAATTTATGAAAAATAGTGAATATAGTTTCGCATTTAAAAGAAACAGTTAAAAAAAGTTTACTTCAAATAAATCCCTGAATCGATTACCCACCAATTTAAGGGTCTATTCAAAAGAACGTTTTAACTCACCATTTGATTTTTAATTGGAAATTACTAACTTCTTTATATACTGTATACAAATTAAACAATACAAAAATCATGTTCACTATGGTATAAGCTTGTGCCTCAACAAAATCAAACCATGAGTCCTACTGGTAAGATCATTCTTGCTGTTGCCATCGATTTAAAGCAATCTTTGTATACTTGCAGCTATGATTTGTTGTTGTGATTTACTATAGCCCTTTACATAGCTGCCAAACTGGTGATTACTTTTATGTGAGAATGTTTAATACTTGCTTATCTATATCTTATATATTGTATTATATGGTTATTTATTTTTGACAATAGAAAGTATATTATTAATTACGTGTCATGATTATCGATGTATATGAGACAGGCAAAAGTGTCATTTGCAGTATCTATTATTGGTACTACATCCCTTAAAACATTTGCAGCCATATTGGGCCTGAGGCGGGTGTAGCTGAGGTGCAAATCTTTTATGTAGTACTCCTAGAGGCCTGGAAATGCCCAATAAAAATCTGGCACATCAGCCTGAAAGATACTTTTATTATTATTTTTTTTTTTTTTTAGATTTATTGTTATTTCTGTCCACTTAAAATTATTTTGGAAAACACTAGGTAGGGGAGGGGGAGTTAGACCAGGCTTGTAAAATTGGGGTTTTTATTTATGTGAAATCTCTCTTAAAAATGACCTGTAGAGTGCACTTTTTCCATGTTACCCGAGGTTGCAAGAATTCGTCATGTTTTTGGTTGGTATAAATGGTATTTTAAAATTCTGTTTGATATAGGGGACCTAAGAGGCTATGTAGCAAAGATGGTACACAGAAAAAGGTGTTATGGGAAGGATGAAGGCTTGTTCAAAGAAAAAGAACGTAAGAAAGAATATTTCACTCAATCACAATCCATTGGACCAAGTTTCATTAAATCAAGTCAAGGTGAGTTTTTAAGTTTCTTTTTTTTGACAATTGTCTTCCGACCTTATGACCATCAATACCTGTCATTTGTGTATGAATCTTTGTTGTGTTGTGTGAATGTTCTTTAATTGTTAGAGTTAATTAGGTAATTATACATATTTGTAATTAATTATAGGCTTCTTACAGTATCAACAGTGTGCAAATGAAACATTGTTTATTTTCATTTGTCCCAAACTTGACCAAGTTTGGTCAAGTTTGGGACAAATGAAAATAAACAATGTTTCATTTGGAAAATATTGTGCTATATATTATTATTGATAAATTTAACTTAATTTAAGTATAGAATTTAAGACAAATGTAGGCTGATTTTTTATCATAGCAAGCTTAATATGTCAGCTACCAAACCACAATTCAAAAAAATACTGTGAGTTTCATAACTTGGACTGTGAGATATCATAAGTAATACTGTATTATGTATTGATTGAAATACAGTATTATGTGAATTGTCTGAGTTCCTGACAAATCAATCAACATGACCAAAATGGCCAAAATATTTCATTTTTCAAGTTTTCTCAACTGATGATAATAAGCCAAAAATTGAGTGCATTCCTTGTGGGACTGTCTCAGCTGATAAATTCATGCCAGTGTCTCTCATGAAGTTCATGCCTTGTCTTGGTCTTGCACTGTGTATGGATAACATTATGGGTTCCATACATTATATCATTTCATCCAAAAAGGAAGATGTCTTCCTCTGTGCTTACGGCCTCTCTACCCAAGCCAACACACCAATCTGACTATGTTGTATCGTGGAGCTAATAGTTGTAGCTTCTTTTTAAATCTTTAAATAAAAAGTCATAGCTAATTTTATTGTTTGTTCTTTCAAATAAAATTTTTCATAAGCAGAAAATTACTGTGTGCTTGAAGGACATTGAACTTAAATGTATTTAGATTGCAACTTGGTCTATACCCAAACAAAGTTTATTATATTTTTAAAAAAATATGCACAAATAATTTTGGAAGGCAATTACTCGTAATCATCAGTATAAATGCGATAGATACTGGACACTGTTAGTTTCAATATTTTCCAATCCCATTTTTGGCTGATATAATAAATCAAATCTTTCCCCCCCTCCCTTTATTGTCCAGAGATTATTTTCTACGCTCCTTCCATGGTTTTCTCGCATTTTGATGTTGGTTTTGCTTTTTCATGATTTTTCTATTTTGTATGTCACCTTTGTATGTAATTTACTGTATTTGTTTGTGTTGTAATTTTTATGCCATTTTAATATTTTTCCTTTGTAAATCCTTATGCAATTCAGCCTTCTTGCTGCTATGTATGTTTTTATTATTGAATTTTGAATAAATATGCCTCAAATAATAATAATATTAATAATAACATCTTTGAATAGTAAGTTGTTTCTCTTTTCAGATATGGATGACAGTGAACCATCAGTCGCACACGAGCTGCCAAGTAAAGGTACAATGAAATATGGAAGTCACATAGAAGACATATGCAAATCACTAAGAATGTTTAGTCAGGTCATGATCCCACATATGAAGGTAATCTCAGAATCAGATGAGCAGATCATTCAACTGATGAGTAAAACAGTAAATTGGATAAACATAAAGGATCCAATAACTGAATTGAAGAAACAATCATCTGAAGACATTGGCAAAATGTTTGCTCATGTTTTAATTGCTGTACAAGATGAAACAAATGTTTTAATGGAAATCCATGAATTATGTACTAATGATATTGTCAGTAGTTTATCAACTGAATGTGAAAAATTAAATTTCAAATACAATATTACAGGACACTTCTATAGTTCCAAATCAATTAATGTATCATTTTTAATTCATCTGCTGTGTAATGCACCAGCACTTCGGTTACTTGATTTGATATATTGTGATATAAAAGGTGTTAATGTGAATGAGATTGCTGATACATTGTATCAAGAAGGAGTTGTGTTGGAATTAACAAATCTTGATATCAGTGAAAATAACCTCAATGACATCAAAGGTTCCTCACTTGCCACTTTGTTTGCTGTAGCTCCTAAGCTGAATGGTCTTCACATGAGAAATTGCAGCATCTCAGGTACTGTAATGGAGGATATGTTTAAAGAGTGTTCTAGTAGGGGAGTTGTGTTGGAATTAACATGGCTTGATATCAGTGAAAATAATCTCAATGACATCAAAGGTTCCTCACTTGCCACTTTGCTTGCTGTAGCTCCTAAGCTGAATTATCTTCACATGAGAAATTGCAGTATCTCAGGTACTGTAATGGAGGATATGTTTAAAGAGTGTTCTAGTAGGGGAGTTGTGTTGGAATTAACATGGCTTGATATCAGTGAAAATAACCTCAATGACATCAAAGGTTCCTCACTTGCCACTTTGCTTGCTGTAGCTCCTAAGCTGAATATCTTCACATGACAAATTGCAGTATCTCAGGTACTGTAATGGATGATATGGTTAAAGAGTGTTCTAGTAGGGGAGTTGTGTTGGAATTAACCAACCTTAATATCAGTGAAAATAACCTCAATGACATCAAAGGTTCCTCACTTCTAAGCTGAATGATCTTGACATGAGTGATTGCAGTATCTCAGGTGCTGTAATGGATGATATTGTTAAGGAGTATTCTAGTAGGGGAATTGTGTTGGAATTAACCAGGCTTAATATCAGTAAAAATAACCTTAATGAAATCAAAGGTTCTTCAATTGCCACTTTGTTGGCTGTAGCTCCTAAGCTGAAATATCTTGTCATGAGAAATTGATTGTAGTACCTCAGGTGTGGATGATATGGTTAAAGAGTGTCGTAGTAGGGGAGTTGAACTTCATATCTCCTAGTAGAAAAAGTAATTGCAATCAGGTAGCAAGTTCTGAAGAGGTGTTTAATGCATGTTTAATTAATTGTCCTAAACTGAAACCAGTAAAAAATAAGGAGAAGAAATCAGCATTGCTGCTTTGGGCCCCCCAGCCCCCCGCTGGTGCCACCCCTGTCGCAGTGGTATTTGAAGCTTCGCAAATTCTCACCAGAGGGCGCTCAGGGAACATTGCGTCTAGTTGTTGAATAGTGCTTGCACATAATGAGCTCATAAAAATCATATAAAATCAACATTTTGCCAGGGATGACTGTTGATTTGTTTTTTTTTAATTATTGAAGGCTGAGGTAAAATTTAGTAATAACTTGTACTGTTTGTCATATTATGTATTATTATTATTCCTGATGCTGCTTCAATAAAAGCGAAATGTAGAATATATTTTTGGAGTGATATTCACTCCAAAAATACCATCTTTAATGATGAGGGCGTCCATGGAGTAAACACGTTAGTCCAAAATATCGTAAGTCCCCCTACTTGACATAATTTCTTATATATTTTTGATAGATCAACTATCTATTGCTTTAGTAAGGGACACAATAGTTCACCGGAAACAGTAAATACAATGCAAAAGCAACGAAGCACTCGATCATTTACAACAGCCAACGTCCAGGCCGAACAAGTCAACTTAGCCGCCACGACTGATGACCATTCATCTGTGCCAAATACTGAGATAGCTAAGTTGAGAAAGGAATTTACGGAAATGGCCGTTGATTTGAAAAAGAATTTGCAGGATGGATTAAATAACATCAACGCAAATTACCTTACTCTCATGACTAGAATGAACTCGCTTGAAAAGAAGCAAACTGACCTAGAAACGTCAGTTAACTTCCATACTAATTCTGTCGACAAGATCGTAACAAAAACGAATGACCTTGAAAAGAAGGTAAGCACAATGGCGGCGACTGCTGTAAATGATCAAAAAAGAATAAACGAAGTTGAAAAGGGGCTACTCTATATTGAACGCTTATTCGCGCAGCTTCAATCTTCGATTTGGAGGGATTCCAGAAGAAATTGGTGAGGACTGCATTGGTAAATTGGCTAATATTTTAAGAGAAGACCTCGAATTGGATGTTCAGATTGAAAACGCTCATCGTATTGGTAGAAGAAACGAGGATAAGAGCAGACCAAGGCATATTATTGCTAAATTTCTCATTTGGCCTGAACGTCGGTCAGTTCTCAACAAAAAAGCTATATTTAAACGCAAAAATTCTACTATATACATTATGGAAGATTTACCACTGGTGGATCTCAGAAAGAAAAAAGCATTAAGTCATATTATGAAAAAAGCGTATGAAGACGGGAAGCAGTCATCATTTCGCAACGGAAACCATTACATCGAAGGTAAACTCTACCAATCACATGAACTCTTTACCTGAGACTCTTGGACTGAAATTAGAACGTTACTTCGTAAGCATAAACAATAAATAAATAAATAAATGAAATCAAACATTACTTAGAAACAAAATTTAATTTTTTACAATTCTGATTAAATGTTTCCTTTAATTAACTATAGCAGAAAAGAAATGATTGCAATGCTTAGTACATGATTCCTCGATTTATGATAAGTTATAAGTTTCTTAAGTTTGAGGTTTTTTCTTTGTTTTTCGGTCTTTTGTTTAATTTTAATTCATTTTTTCTTTGGAGCTTACAAAATATGATAGATTTCTGTATTAATATAACTACCTTTATTTACTATAATTTGCATTATATGTAGTGAAGAAATTAATTATAGGCACTCTCTTAATAGATGTGCACTATGTAATGGATGTGCGCATGGCCATTGTTCTTCTTCATCGCCCAGCTGGTATTGCATTTCTTGTAATGCCTCGATATTTCCATTTAATCATATACATGATAATAATGAATTTCAGCATGAAATAAAGCAAAATCAAGTAAATCAGTTTGTTGCCCTTGATCATTTGAATTAATTAAGTATTAACCCTTTTGACTTAGATATAACAATTCCCTCTACTTGTAGATACTATCTCAGTGGCAGTCTAAACAACTCTCTCCAAAATATAGATACTAATTTTAGTTTTATTCATTTTAATTCACGAAGCCTTGTCAAAAACTTTACTGAAATATCAGAATATCCAGAGGTGACGGAACTAGGGGGTGGAGAGTAATGTGTGACCGGAAATGGTCTGCAGTCAGTTGGTTGTTACCATGTGCCAGTGATGTTGGAGTATAGTACAGCAATTTGAAACTATTATAGGCCTAATGAATGAATAAAGTTCAGAGTTTGTCGGGTAGTGAAATGATTATTTCACATTTTAAGTGCTCCCTAAATTCATAAGTGTAAGCTAAATTACGGTGATTAATTTAATTAATGAAGATATGGAGACAATTATTTCGGATCCCTCTTTCCAAGAGGGGATGCAAATGCTTTGTGAAAATGAGTACGCCGCGGTACTCATTTTCACAAAGAAATACACACAACTGGTTAGCTAACAATTATGTCAATGTTACATGAAGACCTGGGAAGGAAGGTGCAATCACATTGTTACCTAGCAAACGTCTGTACTGTATGGGGGAGGGGCTGCTGATGTACTGTGTAGCTGGGGACGATGAGGCATAAGACTAGGCCTAGGCCTAACTAAGACAGTGGGATTATATGTGATAGAAAGTACACTTTCGGAAGAAATAAATTAAAATAAGAAAAAAAAAATAACTAAGAATAATTCATTTGCAGAGGTACCTTATTTAAGTATTATACAATGCTAACAATGCGCCTCTTGTAGCCCTGGCTTGGGCAAGGCATCCATGTGCAAAGCAGTGGTGTTTGTTTATCCATGAAAAAAGCACGCCGGGAAAGTTTGCCTTACCAGAAGGTGACGTATCTAGCTTATGACGTATGCATGCTAACTAATGTGAGTGTGACGTCACCAAAAAATGAATACTTTCTATTATAACCAAAATAAACTACAAAGTTTCTGGGCGTAAATTCCCTTAATATGAATGAA